CCCACACACACACCCGCGCAGCTCGCCTCACCACACCTCTGCCCCGCATACCCTCCCCCTTTCGCTCACAATACTGCCGGGAGAGTGATATTTTAAAAATTCTCGTTGACGGAAACCCTTTCTCCCCGTGTGCTCTGGCAGATTTTGGCCGACGCGAGGCTCGGCGAGTTACAGTCCCTGGGGTCGCGCAACTTCACCGCGGTGGCCGAGAGGGCAAGGTCCGAGTTCCAGACCGTCCCGGAGCTCGTGGCGCAGCGGACGGCCGCGGCGAGGCAGGGTAAGCGGCGGGTGGGCTCCGCGGACTCGGACACGGCCTACTTTGGCAACCTCCTCGGCACCACGTCGGTCGTTGCGTTGCAGGTGTGGCGGGCGCGCTCGCCGCGCGCCTCGAGAGCTTGGCGTCGCTGCTGCGTCCCCTGGACGGCATCTCGGCGCGCCTCGGCATGGACCTGGCCGACGCGCGCGCCCGCGCTCTCGAGCTCACGGACCTGGCCCAGGAGATCGACTCCTGGAGGTGGACGGCTAGTGTCGGTGAGCCCCCCGGTCCGGTCACTGGCGTCCCGCCCTATGCGCACTGGCCAGCCTCACTTCACCTCCTTGTTCACAGGTGCAACCATGCTGGTCATGATGCCCACCGTCCTCCTCCTCGGCAGCGCGGTCTGCCTGTGCTACGGGCCGAGTGAACGCGCGGGACCACCCCTTCTGTCGTGAGTGCAAGCCCCACCGGCGCCCAGATAACAGATCGAACAGAAAGTATGACCGCATCTCTCAGTTTTTCAGTTTCATTCGTTAATTTACGGGAGCTCAGCGCCTGCGAGTCGTGGGGTAGGCCACCCCGCAGTACACACATGCGCCGCAGCCAAGATGTTGCCTACCTCCAAGGCGCTAGGGAGCTTCCAGCTGAACTCGTCCTTTTCGCCAGGGCAAAAGACGGACATACTCTCTGGGCGATCCCCACCAACTGACGTGTACTTTACTCCCCGCTGACGGCTGTCTCGTCGTGCTGCAGCGCCGTGGTGCTGTCCGGGCTGGTGCTGGCGCCGCTGTGGCTGGGCGCGCTGGCCGTGCTGCTGGTCGCCGGCCACGCCGACGTGTTCGTGTGCCGGCCCCTGCGGTCCGGGCCCGACTACGCCGCCCTGTCCCGCGCGCTGGACCCCGGCACGCTGGCGCGCCTCCTCTACCCCAACAAGTCCGTGGCGCTGCCCATCAAGGACGTGCTCCGGGGCTGCCGCTACGACGGCGGCGCCTACTCGGTGCTGGGTCTGCGCTGGGCCACGGACCTGGAGGAGGCCACGGACCCCGGCGGATGGACCGACGTCGAGCAGCAGCTGGCGCAGGTGCGGCCGGACCTCACGCACCTGCAGCTGCTCACCCCGGAGCTGCAGGCGGACCTGAAGGCCCTGCTGGACGCCACCATGGCGAACCTCACCGCGCACCGCCTCCTCGTGTCGGGCGGCGTCACGGGCAAGGACCTCTCGGCCCTGGCCGACCAGATGGAGAGCGTGGCCAATCAGATCGGGGACGTCGCCACCGCCTCACGGGTTGAGACGCTGGCCTCGCGTACCAGAAGGGTGCTCTCGACTCACGTGCAGCCCCTCGCAGTCAAGAAGGTGAGGTGATGGCAGTGCACGTCCTTAGGCGAGAGACGTTGATGCAGTAGTTTGCTTACCCAGAGAGCGACCTCCTCGGCTTGCAGGAGAATCTGGTGTACCAGCTTACCACCCTGGAGGTGGAGCTAGCGCCACTACAGAGGCAGGTGAACCAGAGCCTGTCCCACCTCAAGACCATCCAGTACTTCGTCGACAAGCAGGGCACAACGATGGCCGACCAGAAGGCGGGGCAGTTTCGCGCCCGGATCCTGGGCTACTTGCAGCAGGCCCGGGACCACGTCGTGTCGGGGTTGCGAGCGCGGTAGGTGTCCCTTGGGCAGGCCCAGGGCGGGCCGAGCAGACGACGAGCTGAGCCGTGATACTGGGCCCCGACCAGTGCAGGCTCAACTCGATTTAGCCTGGTTTCATCCGATTGGGGGGGCTGATTCGATCTGATCTGATCTGTGGCATCGCATCCAGGGTGGCGCGGTGCGGGCCGCTGTGGTCGTCCTTCCACGCGCTCAGCACTCTGCTGTGTCGGCACGCGATGGACCCGCTGGTAGGTACTGGAGGAGGGGTGGTGTAGGTGCGGGGGTAGAGGGCCCGGGCCGGGGCTGACAATTTCCGTGTCGCAGAACGGCCTGTGGGCGAGCTTGACGCTGTCGCTGCTGCTGCTGCTGGCCACCACGGCGCCGGCGCTGCGCCTCGTGAGGAGTCGGATCAACAGCCGCTTCCGGGGCCCCGGTCCAGGGCCCCACCCCGGGTAAGTGGCTTTCGGGCGCCAAAGTGGCAGGGCGCCCGACCTCACGCCGCTGCTCCTACCTCAGTCCCCCTACAGTCCCCAAACAGCCAGCCCCACCTCGACCATACACCGCAACCGGACAGGAAAAAGAATGCAATTTTTGATATGTCCTCACCCTGGATTTTGTTTTTTGACTCAGTCTGAGCTGGGAGTCAATGTCTCCGGGTTCCCCCGGGTACGGCATCGCTCCCCCGCCCCCGCTCCCCCCGCCCATGCAGGGCGTTGGTCAGGCCACCAGGGCCTCCATGAGAGCATAAGCCCCTGACTTATGACGCCAGCCGGGCGAGGGCGAGGTTCTCGCCGGGCAAAAGCAGTTTAGGCGGCCCGAGCCAAACTGAGCAGGTACGATCATATTTTTCCCCCTTGCGAAAAGCTTTGTGCCGGGTGCTTGGTGCGAGGCTATCTTGAGTACTAGACTGACTAGACCCAATGTATCATGTTTTCGAACAGTCGCAAGTCGATTCAAAACTCCAGTGAATCAGAAAAATCTCTAAACTTTTTTGTGTTACGTGGTCACAACCAATTGACCGTTGACCTGGCCAGAACATATTTTGGAGAACATTTTGTAAAACGCACGCACCCCTCCTAAGGGACAGGAGCAATTTCCATTTCGTTTGCAACTTGCTTTTCCTCTTCTCCAGGGCCCATATCGCTCCAAGCCCGTCGGCCTGCAGGGGGGCGTGGCTCACTCCAGGGTAAGAAAGAGAAGGGAGTGCCTGTAGCGGACTTTGTTACGAGCCAATAACAAACATCTTGGCAGCAAAGTAACGTGAAAATCTATTTTCTCCCGGCTTCCAGCACAGCGGCGCCAGATGGCTGGTGAAAGCAGGCTGCGAGACAAGGGGACCAAGCAACCCAACCGCGACAGACTTTTTAATTTTGCTTTATTTTTTACTCGAATTATACAAATTAACGATGCCATAATCTTACTTTTACATGTACGGTGTTAGGAAGAGGTTTTTTTTATACTTAGGCAACGGGAACGCCGACAAATGATGTACTCTACAATCACAGAAGTATCTAATAAATAATTTATCTAAGCCTAAGCCTACCTTATTTCACAGCAGATAACGGGAAAGAGCGCAGCAGCACAATTGAGGAAGAGTTTTTCGTGCAAGCAGTGCAGATAGAATGGCCTCAGTCGGCCTCAGGGTAGAATGGTCAGCTCTGCGGCGGCGCGGGCCACGCCCTCGCTGTTGGTGGCCACGCAGATGTAGGTGCCGACGTCCTCCGGGCGCAGCGCCATGATCTGCAGCCAGGAGGAGGCCATGAAGGCCTCGGGCCCGCCGCGCACCATCACCACGAGGGAGGCGTCGTCACCTGCACGAAGAGGGTCGCGTCCGGTCACGAGGACGAGGGAGAGGTTGCGGTATGGGCGGGGGGCTCAGTCGCACCGGCGTCGTACTCACTGGGCAGTGGCGTGGCGATGCCCTCCGCGCTGATGCGCTCCCAGGACGGCGACGGCGCCGGGAAGCCCTTCACCTCGCACTCCAGGGACACGGGCGAGCCCGCCACGTACTGCACGGGGGCGGGCGGCGTCACGATCCACGGCGCCGCCCGGCACGGGCCGCGGTGCTTGAGCCACACCCGCACGGGCGGCTCGTCCTGGCCGCCCGCCGCGCCGGCCACGCGCATCTGGCACGAGGACGGGTAGGTCGTGTTGTCGGAGCCGCACACCTGGCCCTGGTCCCGGCACACGCACAGCGCCTCGGGCTTGTCCTGCGGCAGGAGGGCGTCGGGAGTGAGCATGAGGGGCACTGTACTGTACCGCCCCGCCGAGAGGAACTGATACTGATAGCGGCCGCACTGTGCAACCACTGCAAGCATGCGCTCGCCTCCCGCCCACTCACTCACCATGTCGCCGAGGTCGAGCCGCGTCACGCAGTCCATGTTCTCGCCGCAGACGCCCAGCGCCCTGGCGGCCAGGTCGCCGTTGGTGGACGCGTTGTAGCAGCGCGCGCCCTCGCGCACCCCGCACACGCCTCGGGGGCAGCAGCCGCAGGGGTCAGGGGCCAGTCCCGTGGAGCAGTCCGCCGCCGAGCGTGGACAGCTGGGGCGGACGGCGGGGGGTTTAGACTAGCGTGGATCAGGGACGGCTGTCGACTAGGGACGGCCGTCGACGAGCAGGTTGTCGGTGGGGCTTTACTCACTAATCCCATACTCACCTGCCCACCCTACACGGCGCGCAGCCCGGCTCTGGGGGCTCGGGGGCCTCGGTGGACGGCTCCGGCTCGGGGGGCGTGGGCGGCAGGTCGGTGAAGCCTTCCACGACGAGGCCGTCCTGCAGGTCGTCCGGGGCACGCAACGCGGCGTCTTCGGGCGGCGCGGCACGGGCGGCCGGATGCACCGCCACGGCACAGCAGCACAGCAACAGCAGCCACGACGGCATCCTGGACAGGGTGACGGCCTGCTGGTAGAACAGCGTCGAGGGCGTGAGGGACTTCACGTGAAGGGGGAAGTCTACGTGTAGGAGCGCCGGAGCGCCTTCTTACTTCGGTTTGTTGACAAAGTCGCTGACTGGCAGGCGGGTCGGTCGGGTCGGCGCTGTCCTGTCAGCAAGACGTCCAGGACCACTCGCTTATCGGGGAAGTCGACGTCTGCTCCGTCGGGCCGCCGTCTCCGTCCGCCGGGCCGAGAGCACAGAGAGTCCCCTCCCCCTTCCCCTCGTCGTAGTCCTCCAGATGGGAGTGCATGACTGTGGGCAGGAAGGAGGGGAAAGGGAGTGGCAGGAAGGGGATGGTGAGGGGCGGGTGTGGAGGAAGGACGGGACGGGAAGGCGGTCTGCCACAACCGTCCCGAGTATGGGATGGGTTTGGTTCGCCTCGCGGGCTTCGCGGAACTGGGAGTGGGGGTGGGGGAGGGGGGGGAGCAAAGTCGAGATCAAGGCCAGAAAGTACTCATCGAGTAATTAACCGCTCACGACATGGGTGTGCCAGTGGGGGGTGGCGTGTGTGATCGGTGTCACGTGGCGCCCCGTTCCGAGGCCCGGATGACTCACCAGCCCGTCACTGCGCAGCGGCCCCATCCCGGCATCAGAAGGAGGAGATCGGCGTCGCATCGGACCGCCTACCCTTCCCCCGCCCGCCCCGCCCCGACCTTGAGGGTCCTTGTGGTCCTCGGCTGAGCGCTGTGCATGCCAGCTGATAGGGCGGGGCGGGGCGGGTGCGTGCCGCCGGCCGGGCTGCATAGAGCGCATTGCGATCCGGAAATGCAGGGAATGTGATAGTTAGCGAGGTCGCTCTGGGTGTGTAGTGTTGTATGTATGGCTATGCGGAGTGAAAGTGTGCAAATCAGGTCCGTAATCATCCGCCCGGTTAGGAGAGGGGTTGGCAGGAACGACATAAATTAAGTGTTCTTCAAAATATAATCTGTACTTAGCATGTGGCACGGCCGTCAGCTGTCGTGATAGGCGATGTACCCCAGTCCACCTTAATCTTATAAACACAATGTAAAACAGCTTCCATCAGGACGCGCAGGGTCGAAGGTCAGCGACACGCGGTCAGTAGATGATGTGGTACGGGTTGGGCAGGTGGTGGTGGTAGTCGTTGTTGCCGTAGGGCGAGGGGTAGAAGGGCACCTGGGCAGGGGGCGGGGGCGGGGCGTAGCCGCCACCGCGGGGCTGCCCCTCCAGGCTGACAAGCTGCAGCTGCACGGAGCCCTCCACGATCACGTGGTTCACGCCCTGGTACGGGTGACGGTGCGGCCACTCGGCGAAGTGCACGCCGTTAAAAGCAATCTGCGGGCGAAACAAAGCGTCAGTCAAAGGTGGTATAGGAGGTGCAGCTTGGACCTCCGGATCTCCGGATGAACCGTCGGTATATCGGAGACCGCCCAACGGGAGATGACGCGATTGAAAATGTCGCAAAGACAAGCGGCGGCATCCCCCGGGGGAGGCGGCACAGCTCCCGCGGCCGCTCCCCGTTTACCCTGCTGCGCGCCGCGGCCGCGGGGCCGTGAGGCCTGATTGAATGACGAGACGTCAGCGTCGCCTGGCCCGGGCCTGGCCCTGCCTCTAATTATCCCATCTCGTGCCATGAATGGATTACGCGTCGCCATGGTTCGGCGAAGCGCTGGAGGGGGACGCCGCCGGCGGGCCGGGCTCGCACCTTGTAGCAGTAGTCGTCCACCAGGATCATGAGCTCGAAGGACTGGCCCAGAGCCACCGGGCAGGGCCGCAGCTGCTGGCCGCTCTCCCAGCCGCCGCGCCGGCAGGTGTTGAGCTCCACCAGGCCCTCCGACGGCCGCGTCGACACGTGCAGCGCCAGGTCGTTGTAGTCCATGGACGGGCCCGTGGCCAGGTTCACGCTGAACCGGTAGGCGTTGTGGGGGATGAAGCCCCGCACGCGGAGGCACCGCCCGGGGTAGACGGAGCCGATGTTCTGCACGTGTGGCACGGACTGCAACAGGGGCGAGTACAGTGTCAGCGACCGGCTGGCCGGCAGCACCAAAGTATTGTGTTTGCAGCGCGAGAAACCTGCTCAGAAGCACCACAGCGTGGATCATGGAAAAGGGGGAAGGGGGGATTCCAAATTTAATGGTTTTGTGCGTACTTTGCCATCTGATAAATCAAATATGAAGTTGAAGGGCGTGAAAATGCGTGACTTCTGCAGCTCCCCCCTATTCACTCACCAACGCTGGAGTTGAGGGGGTAACTACTCTCTTGGAACGAACATTCTTTGCACCAAGCTGGAAGGGGGCGCTCAGAACACTCATTGTTGAAGTGGAGGTCACAGAGGTCCCCGGGTACGCGGGTGTGCTCGCCTTCGGTGTCGGGACCTTGGTGGCTTTGGCGCCGTGAAGCCGCCGGGCCTGGGGGTGACATTGCGCACGTGTAGCCGCTCTGACACGACCTTCTCCTCCGCGAGGACCTCCCCGCATCGCGTACGCAGCACGGCGGCCTCTGGCCTCTCCGACTCCACCGAGGTCACCGACGAGGTCACCGCCCGCACCTGTCCGACGCCCTGCCCGGAGACCACGCACTGCGGTAGTAGGATTCTCACCGGGTTGTGGGTCTGGTGGGCCGAGCCGTAGGCGCCGATCACTCCGGAGACGCTGTTGATGTGCACGTCTCCCTCGGCGCTGACGTGCGTCACGCGCTGGAAGGGCATCCGGTGGCGGAACTCGCGGAAGTGCTGGCCGTTCAAGGCAATCTGCGGCAACACCACCGTGGAGTGAGAGTGTGACGGGGGGGGGGGGGGGGAAGGCACAGGGCAAGGGGTAACTTATTCACTCAAAGTATAAACCCTCCCAAACAGTCAAAAAATTAATTTTAAAAAGTTTAAATAAAACGGTGCACGATTGAATTTTAAGTGAAGTGCACGGGTCGCCACCCGGACCCGGCGCTTTGCTACCTTGAAGCCGTGGCCCTCGCACATGATGAGCATCTGGAAGTGGCCACCGCGGCGCAGCGGCAGGCCGCCGTCGCGCTCCTCGTGCTGCCAGCCGCCGCCCTGCTGCGTGTTGCGCACCACGCAGTTCTGGTCGAAGCGCACCGAGATGTGCAGCGCGATGTCCGACACGCTGGCCGGTGCGCCGCCGCACTGCAGGTTGATGACGAACCTGCCGCACCGCAAGCACGAGGGCCGTGAGCACGGTCGTGGTGATACCTCGGCCAGGGCCGCCCCGCCCAAGTGGCGCCGCTACGACCCACTTACCTGCTGGCGTGGTGCGGGATGTTACCGTAGATGGCGATGGCCCGGCCAGGGTGCATGGCACCCTCCAGCTGCCTCACGAAGGGGACATTCTGGGGGACAGGAACAGGGGCATGATGTCTGAGACCCGGTCCCCACAATGAACGTGTCACGAGGCGACGCTACCGATGGCGCCTGCCGCGCGCTGGGTAGGCCAGCCGCCAAGCAGCTGCGTCAAGACGGCGGCCCGCCCAGAGCGCCCCAAGTGCGATTGACGCCCACCGCTCCCTCGCGGCCCCTTGGTAGACGATCATTGTGGGGTTTATTCCCACTAGCCCAGGAAAACGCGCTTAAAGTCTGCATGCGGTACAGTACAACTTTCCATTCGACATAAAAGCGGTCTCACGCGCAATCGCTTGGAAAATACTCAAGAAATGTTGTCGTCGTTTCTCAAACTTACGAAGCTGTTGTTTGAATACATGGTGGAGAGTCGTCCGCAGCGATGTCGTCAGGGTACACTTTCCTGCACTTGGCTGAAACAGTGAGAGGAAGGCACTATTTTTAGCACCTTTAGGGCTCTTGATAGAGGCTGCTCGTAACTGAAATTTTCTTTAGCGCCCTTGGAAAGGCGCGACTTTGCACCTTTGTTTATCCAGTGTAAGCCCATACAATGCGCAAAAAATATGTGAGACATGTATTGCGTATTTCTAGTGTGACGTATACGCGGCGTTGGAGGAGTGGTCCCCTCCCAGATTATGTGTGATAGGATAGGCTTATCTCTCTGCGATCCGGGCTTGGCCAGTTGAGCACACACCGATAAAAGGAGAGCTGGCCGCGGATTCGTGTAGGAATACTCATAGATCATGGATTATTTTCGTTTAATTTGAAGAAAGTACTCTAATGAAGTTACCCCCGGTCACCCCTCGTGGTACTTCCCCATTTTAACACACTTTGAGGCCAACGTAACGACATGGTGGCCTTGCTGTGCTGGAAGACGCCACCTATCTGTATAGCTCTGGGACCCAATGAGTTAAATAATGTTATATTGCTAGAAAGTGGGCATATCTTTGATAATCTGATTTAATTAAAGAGTGATAGCCCTAGGCCCCAGCGGGCACCCATGACGATCTGTCTTAACATTTTAAGCACATTGACTTTTCTACATATGTTTATTTTTATGTTGTTTTTGTGCTTTCGGGGGAGAGGGGGGATTTGTTAACGTCCTTCACTGGAGCGTGGAGAGATTTGACAGGTTCGGCTAGTCGGTAGCAAACACACTTCCTGGGCGCATGTTGTTGGGGGCTCGCCTGTTCTCTCTTAAAGATTGATATCGACTGTATCCTGCAGATCCGGACCATACACCAGGCAGAGGCCAGAAGGACCGCCTAGGAAGGGATTTCGATAAGAGTCCCCCCACAAATAAGACGTGGGTGCGAAAACCTGTACGTCAACACTGACGTGGGTCTTACTGTTACTGTTACTGGGGATGTAATCGTCACGAGTATCAAATGGTGACGAGCTACCAGTTGGCTGCTTCCCGTCCAATTTCGTAGTACTACTGTGCTGCCTCATGCCCCAGGGCAGGGGCGTTAGTCATCCCCGTATGCATATCGCGCACATCTTGCATACGGTACCAAATAACTACGGAAAAGAAGGGTGTATCAGCCACCTTGGTCCTTGGTGTAGTAAATCACAGTATTCCGTTTATTTATTTTTACCTCAACAGAAACGGGATGGACGACAGGAAATTCAAGAACTGACCAAAAAGACGAACCGCGAAGGACGGGCAGCTAAGCTGTCTGGAAGAAAGACAGTCCTATATAGTTACTTACCAACCGGTGATGAACCCTATCCTGTCGACTGAACTCTTGAGCACCGATGTGTAGTTGCTGCAAGGTCTGAAAGGGACCTGGTGACGGTGCTGAGCGCGAGCAACTGGCAGGGACTGAGAGACTCGGTCACAGACCCAGTCTCTCTGGCGGATGCCCTTATCCATCTATCCAAAGAGGCTCGAGGGAGTTATCGCACGGCAGCGTCCACACCGCACAGTCAGTCAACTCAAAATACACCGTCCGCCTAGACTGGGAGTGGCCGGTGACGGATGACGTGTAAAAATAGTGCAGAAAAAAAAAATATTTAAAAAAATCACAGGTAGAGTTAAGAAAAGAGGGTACTTCGATTGGTTATCAGATCTACAGGGTCTTTGTATTACTACTAAGAAAAAAATACACCACAAGTGAACGAACATAACTCATAGCTGAATCTTTGTAGAAGAGAAAAAGAAGATATTAATAAGAATATGTTTGAACTCAGGTTTTAAAATAGACATATAAAGGTAATAATAGAATGAACACTTTCTCTATTCTAAGTAAACCAATATAGGAACTACAAACATGGTTAACATCTATAGGTATCAAATCAATTCATTTCTGCACTGCATTTTGCAATCTTAATTGAGAATGCAATATGAAGATGATCACACACTGATGTGTTAAAACCAATGAATGAAACGTTTACAATAGTACATAGCAAAGAACACAGAATTTCAAACATTTATGTAAAATAAATGCACACAAGGCTACTTTGTAAACAATAAAGAGACAAAAATGAGAATATATTCAAAACAAGTAAACAAATAGATATCAAAAGAAAGAAAAACATAATTTCTAGAGTAAAAAATAAGTCAGTTTAAAGATTGAAGTGAGATATAATGAAATTGACTTTTGTCTGCTACGATAGATGAATACTTCAGGCATGCCTTAATTTGTGAGACAATCCTGATAAGTTTTTAATTAACTAATCTAAAGTATTTATAATCACACCTTTGGTGTCTCTAGTCTCATATTTCATGACTTCATTATAGGCCCACTGACCAACAATCACACAGATACTAACAATAATGCATATAATCATGTTTAGTTTAATTGGCTCACTCTAGTAACTTATGGGTTCATTCAGGACCAGGCCATGACAACAGAAAACAGAAAGGTAATTGTGCACCCAATATGTCAATACTCACTCACATAGGAGTAACTTTGATGAAACTATTACTTTTCAATCCATAGGTCCTCTTACATTCACAACTTTTACTTAAAATCAACATCACATTGAAACAAAGAAGAATATTACATACCTACATCTCTAGAAAGCACTCAATAAAAGCTTGCTAATGGCACATATAATTTTCACAACCTATACATTGGAAAAAAAAACAGAAAACAAGGCATCTTGATTATGAACTTAATAAGCAAGTGCAAATTGAACATAAGTTTCTTAGAACAGAAATTGCAGGTTTG